AAAGAGTGGGAGAGGCGGTGGAAACCGGAACCTTCCCAGACTAAAAAGAACTAAAAAGACAACCAAATGCAATCAATAAACTTTGATTGGATCCTGAATGTAAAAATATGTACGTGTTTACATACATGTAAGGAGGAAAAATCAAGTAAAAATGGCAGACTATTAACATGGAGAAGATATGTGCTTATTACATTAATCTTTGAACTTTTCTTTTTGTTTAAAATTTTTCCTAATATAAAGTTGAAAAAAAAAAATGAAAACCACATACTGGGTGCAAGCCCCTAGCACTGCCCTTAAACTCACTGTATTCCAACTTCTTGCTTTGTGTTCAACTGGAGAGAACACTCCTTGCAGCACAGACCTGCTCCAGGGCCAAGTGGCTCATAGTTGATTCCCAGCCAATGTTTGTGAATGAATGAGTGAGCAAATAAATGAATGAATGCTATAGACTGCCAATATCTCTTAAGAAACTGCACTTTATGAAGATATAACAGATCTCGCTTGGATTTTTTGCACACGAATTTTTGAGCTGAAATTTATTTTCTAAATTAATGCTGTTTTACCATTGTTCTCAATCTAGTTAATTTTTAAAGAAAATAATTGTCTAACCTGACTCTTAAGACAACTCACTCGGGTAAGAGAATTATTGGTCTTAAGATGTTAGGAAAAAGGTGAGGAAGAGGCAGGGAGGAATTACATACATCTTTACATCATCCATTATATCACCCTCCTAAAGTACTTAGGATACAAGTAACAGCCCCTATATTATGTAATTTTGTCAAGTGCTTAAAAGTGGTAATTTTCTTCTGGGCATAAAAACAAGATGCTATGGAGGTGAGCTGAACACAAACCCCAAACTTACAATGGCAGCGATCTTCCCACTTTTTCTCAGCTGCTGAACAGCAAATGAATGGAGCACATCCTCCATGGAGGTGCCGTTAACCATGACGACCCTATCATTTTCTCTGAAAACCAAAAATAAAAACAGGATGTGAAAAAATCCTACGCATTCACAGTAAATCATTTATTTCGGGACAGAGGCAGCACACTGACCTGAAATAAAGGGCTCAGTGTCTGACGACTCACAAAGCTTAATCAGTCAACTCAATCTGATCTCTTCTGAGGAAGGAACCCAGGAGCCACCCAGCCCACTTTTGACAGTGTGAACTGGAAACCACCTGGGGAGAAGGACCCAAACTACAGGATCCCTCCAGCAGGCACCTGACAGTGGTAAGATCTGAGCACAAATGAACTCCTGAAACAGGCCTCCTTACCCCAGGTACACAGTGGGCTTCAGGAAGTCTACAAACAAGCCACCATCCCCCACCCCAAAAGAGAAGATTTATACCCACTGGTATTTTGAAAGGGGAGAAGTCAAGAGCTTGCCTCAAATTCTTAAAGAGTGGGTAGGCAGGAGGTAGACATAGGTCAAGGGAGTCAAATATGTGATAACGGAAGGAATTTAACTTTGGGTGGTCAACACACAATGCGATACACATATGACCTATTATTGAATTGTACACTTGAAACCTATTTGATTTTATTAACCAATATCAACTCAATAATTTTAATTAAAAAAAACTCAAAGAAATTTGGCAGTCATAGAACCTTAATTCTTAACTTTATATTATCCCCAAAATCATTTTAAAATTCTACTTTGAAAGACTACTAACTTTGACAGACCCATAGAGACTTGGAATGCCAATAAAACCTAAACTCTGGAGCTGTTTGGCCAAGGCAGTCATGAAATTAACTTTAGATTCTGCCCTGAGAAATGAAACTGAGGGACTCAGACACACAAATTTTCAAATGGCATTATCTCTTCAGACTAGAAGGCTGACAGCTGGAAAACTTGTGTTTTCATGTAGAAAAGTTTCCCAATTTCCACATCTTTCTTATAAATCAGATAATCACTATGCCATAGCATCCTCATTAAATTCTTAAAGAATATAAATTAAAATACATGTCCTAAAAGCAACGAATGAACAGGACAAACAAACAAAGACTCATGGACATGGACAATGGACTAGTGGTTACCAGAGGGGTTTCATTAATCAAAATCACCATTAAAATAATTAATTAAAATAATAAATAAAATTTAAAATTTAAAAAATACATGTAAAGTGTTAGGTACGCATTAGGGAAAAACAAGCATGCCAATGTTATATTCCATGTTCAGAAATGGTCCCTAAACCCAGGAATGACAGCTGTGCTGGTTAGAATAATTTTCCTACAGAAATAATTGCTTTCCTTTCTCCAGAATTTGGATGTTTCCAAAGGACTGTGGATTATTCAAATATGGTACATATGTTCTCAATCCCCACCTGAAGATTCTGTGTGTGTGTATACATATATATGTATATATACAAAAGTGCACATACAAACACATATGCTTTTTTTTTTTTTTTTTAAATTTCAAAAGTGCCTACCACCCAAACCACCCTGTCTAGGGCTAAGCAGTGTGGCTGGCAGGGGCTGGGGTGGAAAAGGAGGGCCACTCACTGAAGCAGCCCGTCAGCGGGCCCACCCGGAAGCACGTCAGAAATGACAATTGAAGTTTCTCCATTTTCAAAGTGGGGGTTGTCTCTGCCTCCGGACACTGCAATTCCAAATCCTCTTTTGGAATCCTGTTCATCGAAGTTAAGAGAAGAAGAGAGGGAGGGAAAAAAAAAAAAACCTTCCGTAAGTAGCTTTCGGGATTTATTACAAGCCCTCAGTAAGATAAAGGTTGAACCAATCACCAGAGACAGCTCAGAAACGGGGCTTACAGGAACAAATGAGAAACAAAATAAAGCAGCATCATGACAGGTTTATAAAGGGAAATTCCTTATCTAAAAGAAACAGCCTTGCGAAAGCTGGAAAAGATTGATAACACTGTAGTTATCACTAGAAGCTGGCACGGGGTGGGAATAACACCGTCTATCCAAATAACACCGTCTGCGCTATTCAAATCGCTGATCATATCCATTTTCATATCCTGGCCTGAGCTGGAACACCTTCAGTCACAACTGAATCTGTGCTAAAACCATATTTTTAAAGTATATTTTTAACTTCCAAGTTAGATGAGCTGGTGGTTTCATTTTAACATACAGTGAAAAGAAGTACATGGATTTTAAAGATAAAATAAAATCTGAAGATAAAAGTTTTGGGATCTTATGAGACAGCAAGCATTAAATTCTTTTCTGCACGCATATAAGATGAAAATACAGATTAATTACATCCCCGATTGGTCTAGAAAAGTCTAACAGTGAACCCAGGTAATACATAATCCTAATTCGTTTCAGTGTTTAAAAAAGCTAAGCTCCCAGGTTTCATCCAGATGATATGGGTACATGTGACCATAACCCTAAATGAGGGTTTGATTATGTAAAAATCTATTCAGAGAATAGAAAAATTTCCCAAGAAAAGTTCCCACGTCAGGCCCACTGATGACAATCACCAACACAAAACAGGCTGAGTTGTTGGACATTGATCACACAGCTTTGAATCTGGCAGCACCATCACCTGGTACCTGGTTTTACAGAGAGGTAGCTCCATCACCTATACCAGGCCTAAAATGTCTCTTGCTTTCCCCAGTCTGAGGTCCACGACTCAAGGGGTATGTGAAATGGTGGTGAAAACAGCATGGAGAGTAAGAAGATAATTAGAACTGAAAAAAAAAAAAGACCTAAAGAGGGGAAACCCCTCAACTGAAGAAACTGTGATTACTGCCCCAGAAATTTTGGCACCTGAGCACTGGTCTATTTTTTCCTGCCTGGATTAATTTAATACATATTCATTCAGAAACCAATTTTCTCGAAGTTGAAGAAGGAAGGCTTCAATTGAGGAACTTAAAATCCTTCCAGGAAGTGACGGACACTAAAGTGGTTCAGAGCAGGAATAGGACCTCTACAGGGCCCAGGAAAATCACAGCAACGCTGACCGAGGCAGCTTGGCGGAATAAGTCTTGGGGACCATAATGGCTAGTCCAGCTCAGCCATATACAAATCACTCACATGCCCCCAATGGGTACGTTTGTTTTGAGTAGAGTTAACACCTATCATGCCTACCTCGAACTTTACCATTGGAATGAAAAGGAACGATGCTAACATTGTTAAGCAACACTGATATGCTGGACTCCTAGTACTAGAAGCTGCTTGTATTACCTCATTTAATCAAGAGGGGCCATAGCTCTGAAATGACTTTAAAAATAAGGTAAAATATATTTATATGTGGGATTGCTTCTGTTTTATATTTTATTTTTTTTTAATTTATTATAATTAGTTTCAAGTATATAGTACATTGGTTAGACACTTATGTAGTTTAAAACGATCAGTGGTTCAGAGCAGGAATAGGACCTCTACAGGGCCCAGGAAAATCACAGCAACGCTGACCGAGGCAGCTTGGCGGAATAAGTCTTGGGGACCATAATGGCTAGTCCAGCTCAGCCATACACAAATCACTCACATGCCCCCGATGGCTACGTTTGTTTTGAGTAGAGTTAACACCTATCATGCCTACCTCGAACTTTACCATTGGAATGAAAAGGAACGATGCTAACATTGTTAAGCAACACTGATATGCTGGACTCCTAGTACTAGAAGCTGCTTGTATTACCTCATTTAATCAAGAGGGGCCATAGCTCTGAAATGACTTTAAAAATAAGGTAAAATATATTTATATGTGGGATTGCTTCTGTTTTATATTTTATTTTTTTTTAATTTATTATAATTAGTTTCAAGTATATAGTACATTGGTTAGACACTTACGTAGTTTATAAAACGATCCCCCTAATTGCTCCTTCTCTCTTCTGGTTTTCCACCTAGCCATTACATTAATGCTAACTGCATTCCCTATGCCATGCCCCCCATCCCCGTGACCATCTACCAACTAATAATTTGTACTTCTTTAAACCTTCACCCCATTTTCCCAGCCCCTCAATCCCCCTCCCATCTGTCCGTCATCAAACTGTCCACTATATTTGTGTACTTCTACTTTCAATTCCACTGGGGATGGTATTTTTAAAAACCAGATTAACTCTACACCTCTTAATGTAATCAGGACTGAGACAAAAAAACAGCCCATGTCACTTGATTGCTAAACCAAAGTTTTAAAATTTAGTTTGGACTTAAAACTCACTGAGGGAGTTATAAGTTATAATTAAAATTATAAAAATTGTAGAAGCTACTTCAACGTCCTTAAATAGTATAAGTTATTTCCATTGCTCCCCATCTTTATTCTTTTTTTAAGTAACATGTTCTGCTGGTGATAGATGAAAACACCAAATAACCTATAAAACTTTCTACATTATACAGACCTTAAACTAACTAACTAACTAAATAATAGCATGCAAATCTTTGTTAATGTGGTAATTATTGCCAGATATTACCTATAACATATTATCCACCTCATGGGGAAATAAACTGTGTTTGAGCAGTAATAAACAAGATCATGGATCTGTGAACTCAAGAACTTGATTGCAGCATATATGAAATGTGCAGCACTCACCTTTTGTAGGGTCACAGTGTACTGTTCCCATATCAGTTCTTCCATGCCTGGGGCCTGTTTCAAAACAAGCAGACATTTCAATGCTACAAATAAAACTATAATTCAAAATATCTCACTATATAAAGTCCAGTTTACACTTTCAATATACCAAAAAGAGTTCATGCTTTTTAAGAACACTATGCTACCCATTTTCAAACACACTCTCCCCTTCAACGAAATGGCAACCTTAACAATACTGAAAAAATTAGTGAAGGACAGTGAGAGAGATACCTTAAAAAGAATATAATATTAAGTGTTGAGCCTTTTTATTATCACTACTCCAAAACACTGTCATTATAAAATCCCATAGAAAGGGAATTAGACATTTGCAAGCAGGTATTTTTTTCATTTTTTTTTAACCACTCGTCCCTCCTTCTGTCAAAGGTAATCTTCTAAGCAAGTTTTGTGCATTTTTATGTATAAAGGAGTCTGGCCTTATCACAGAGAGTGCCCAATTGGTCAATCTGTGGGATCCCTTTTCTCCATCAGTATTGCTGGGTGTGAAAGATGAAAATGCCTGCATAAACAGACCACTGGGGCTTCAATTTCTAAGAATATTCCAAAATAGATATCTTAAAAAATCAGAAAATAGTGGATATCATTTTTAAAAAAATAATAATCCAATAATGCTGGCTGCCTTTGAGGGGAAATCCTTAAAGGCTAGAAATGCCAAGAAAGCTCAAAACCAGAGAGATAAGCCAGCACTGAAGCAGGCATTTAAACAGGAGGCTGGGGAGAGAGATAAACTGTAGGATCCAAACAGGGTGGAAATCAGATCAAAGTGGATGTACTAGGGAAAAAACACCACCAGGCAGATGGAGATGGCAAGGACACTCGCCTATCTCATCCTTGGCTCCGGGTAGAGTGGAAATAACTAAAAATATCTCCCTGGAGAATTCCTATCAACAGACCTGTTCTCACAAAGGTTTGGGACTGAAATTCATATTCTGAATGCAACCACCCCTGCCCTCCCACACACTTCAGGTTCAAAATGGTTCTGCACTGGTAATACTCAAGTATCCAGAGGCAGATGCAAATTCTCTCCAAGGAACTCACTGATACACAGGCTTCAAAGAATCACCAAGGTAATCATTTGAGGAACATGAGTTTGTGATTTAAACACACACACAAAATATCACCATGAGTGAGAGCCAGAAGAAATAAAAAATTGCATAATCAAAGATGGTAAATATTAGAAACATCAGTCACAGACCAAAACAAGTAGGTCAAATATGCATCATATGTTTGTCATAAGAAATTAAAAGAAGATCTTGAAAATATAATGAAGAGAACAAGAGACCATCAAAAATGACCAAGCAAATCTGAAAAAAAAGCAGCAAATAAAATTTGTAGAAAAAAGGTGGTAACTGAAACAGTGGACTAAACCACATGCTACTCATGGTTGAAGATGCTAATTAATGAACTAGAAGATGGATGTGAAATTACCCAGAATGCAGGACGAAGCGTTAATTAGATTTCCTGAAGGAGATGACAAGAGACTGTGGGAGAAGTGCAATACTTGAAGAGATAATGACTCATCCAGAATTGAAGAGTCATTATCTTCAGGAAGCCCAGTACATGACAGGCAGGGTAAAAAATTTTAAAAGAAAAGCACCTTGAAACACATGGTAATCTAACCACAGATCTAGAGACTGGAGAGCAGCTAGACAGAAGAAATTACTAATCAAAGAACATCAATGAGAATAACAGCCAACTTTTAAACAGCAGTAATAGGAGCTGTTTAGTAAGTTAGTAGAATAATACCTTTAAAACAATATCTGTTCATTTAGAGGGCAGAAAATACATTAAAAAAAAAAACCAAAAAAAACTGGGACAGATTATTGCCATAGACCAGCAATAAAAGAATTTCCAAAGGATAAATTTAAGAAAGAAGAAAATCCCAGAAGACCTAAAATGCGAGAAGGAAGGTGAGCCTGAACACATACTGGCTGTATGCAACTGTAGTTAACAGTGTGTACTTTGTGAGCTTTAAACAAATAAGATAGAACTAAAGCACTGGGCAACACAGCATGTAAATCCAAAAGACTTTAACGTGATTAAATTATTCTAAATGTTTATTTAGAAGCAGAGTTAAACGATTAATTTTGAAAGTCACTGACTTGAATCTACATGTTAAAATTTCTGGGGTAACCACTATAGGAATAGAGCACATAACTTCTAAAATAGCCGAGGAAAAATAAGATAAAAAACAAATAAAAAAAAAAACCTCTTAGGTTTGGGAGTAAAGAAGCTTAGCACAAAAGGCAATTCTATCAACTGACATATTGGAACAGATCATTTTTTCCCTTTGGCAGAAGTGGGTGATGTAAAGGCAATTTTGTTTGTACAGTAGAATGGTGAACCAGCCTGCTGCTCTTCAGTAGCTATAACCAATTATTCAAATTGAGAGGAATTTATAATCCTTTAGTTCGCCCTATCTCTTTATGCACTCATTTTGGGACATTTTCATAGCTAATGCCATCTGGCTCCAAGAGATCAAAATTCTCTTTAAAAATTAAACATTAAAGAAATAAAATTCAAATCAGCTCAGGGTTAAAAAGGAAACATAAAATGGTACCTGGAAAATGCGAGAACTAGAATCTGTTACCAGCACACCTGGGATCGGGTGCTGTGGTGGTGGGGGGCATCACCATCCAAAAAGGGGTGATATTTAGGCCAAATTAAGTACATCAGCACAATAAATATGTATTTGTTCAAAAAGATCATAATCTAAATTATGTAATCTCCCTAATTAGTTTTGTTCACCGTGACTACTGTTATTCAATTTAAAAAAAAAATGAAAGTGAATTTCAGGTAACATTTTTATATCTTGCTCGCTTTTGTCCTAAATATATGAGAACTGTGTTTGGCACATAGAGTTGGCACTCAAAAGGTTTTCTTTTCAATAAAACAAAAGATAAATACACTATCTATTGAGCACTCTATTAATATGATGAAGACACTGATTAAGGAAACTTCTCTTACATTCAGTGGCCCTCTGGCTTCTTCCACAACCACTTGAGGTTGTGAGGTTAGAAACTCAGGTGTCTCTGATCCAGTATTCTAGGTATTCTTTATAGCCATTCCTCTCTAGAATTTTGTTGTCTAGAAATGCCTAAAATAGCAACGTGTGCCAGTATTTAAAAAAAAAAAAATAAGTTTTCTTAAAGAGAAATAGTAAGCAGAAATTCAGTTGATCAGAACTGATCATCCCTTTCCATTCCCACAGAACATCTCCTAACTCCCAGTCACCTTCGGGTTTCCATCCAGCCTTAGTAAAATCAATTCACCACCACCTGGAAATGACTTCACTAGCGTGAGTGCTTCCCAAGTACATCTTTTCAGCAACTCTATTATACCTTAAAGCCAGCAAATGTCAACAAAGTGAACTACTGTGTAAGAGTGGTAAAATATATACAGTTGCCAACTAATTTGCCAGCTCTTCTTTAAATAGTTATTTACCACACATTTGGGGGAAAAAAAAAAAATCACACAGCACCATCCCCAAAATACTTATTTAAAAATCATCAGGAAAAACTAGCCATCACCATGGCAATCACCCCTAGGATTAAGCAGTGCTAGGGAGTTGAGGGGACCACAAGTGTCCAAAAAGGGAGTGATATTTAGGTTAAATGAACCAACGTAATGAAATACATGAGCATTGAAAATAATTATTTACTCTACGATCATGCTACCCTGAACAAGCCTGATCCTGTCTGATCTCGGAAGCTAAGCAGGGTCGGGCCTGGTTAGTACTTGGATGGGAGACCACCTAGGAAGACCACGTGCTGTAGGCATAAAAAATTAAAAAATAAGGGATTGTAATCTAACAAGGTCCTTGCAATTTGTGAGGTCAACCAAGGGTTGCCTCCCCTAAAAAAATAAATAAAATAAATAAATAATAATACTTAATTTCCCGTCAATTATTTTTAAAAGCTTCTTTATCATGATGACTGAGTTTTCAATTAAAGAGAGAAATTTAATTTTATATTTTCTGGTCTGTCCACTATTGGTGGAAGTGGTGGGTGTATAAATTAGTACAAAGTTCGCAGAAGGCAAACTACCAATATGTATCAAAATGTAAAATCTGCATTCCCCTTGATCAATCAATTCCACTTCTAAAAACTTATTTTACAGAAATATTTGCACAAGTGCAAAGATATATGTATAATTTGTTTACGGCTGATTCTAATTTTTTAAATTAGATAATCATGAGATGTTCAACAATAGGAGATTGGTTGCATATAGAGATCTAGACTTAAATTGGGGAAAAAATCAAGATAAAAAAAGTGTGTGTGTGTGTATATATATACATATACATATATATATATATATATATATGTATATGTATATATATATATATCTGTAGGTAAAAGACTGGAAGAAAAAATACCAAAAAATATTAAAGTTCCTGAAGAGCTGTGGTATGGCAGAGAATATTTTTATATCAGTACATTACTTTTGTAATACATTTTTATTTTAAAAACAAAATCAGCAAAGTTTCATTCCTAAATATTTTTTCAAAGTTTCATTCTTAAATATTTTTATTATTTAGCCAAAAACATGAATTGCTACAAAATTTTATTTTGAAGTGTTACCCAAGTAGAATAAACCTAGCCTTTGAAATTCAATGTTCTTCCATAATGAGATTATATTGTCTAAGTATTCCTGAGCTGCCTGTAGAGGTAATTTAAATTAGATTTGTCATAGAGAGAGGATTAATCCCCTACCACTACTACAGCAGGACTGAATCAAATTTTCCATCCAGCAGACCTTGTTGGTGCCTAAAAACCTCACCAACTTGACATGACTCTGATCAGATTGTAAAGGGCTGCTTCTTACCCAGGGTTAATGGGTTGTGACTAAACCATTACCTACTTAAACATAATATTAAACGAATACATGTTCTGTTAAACTAAGTGATAAATTTAAAATCTTAACTTTAAAGGTGAGGAAATAGAAAAGATAAATTTTAATACCTTCTTTGAGGATTAAACATATATCATAAACTGCGTATCTAATTTACAAAGCTGTGACCTTTGCAAAGGTCTCGGAGGAAATTCTTCATTCACTGAGACCATTCATTTATTCTGTCTCTCGCTCATTCATTCATTCATTCATTCATTCAAAAATATTTATTGAGCACCCTCTACATGCCAAATATATGGTTCATGGCACTTGGAATACACTGGTGAATAAAACAGCCAGAGCCCATGTGGCGTTTACCAACCATGATGTGCCCCCAAAACAAAACACTGAGTGTCTTCTTGGCCTCGGCTATATACAGTATTATCTTTTCAGAAACACAGAGCCACCCACATAATCACACACATCTTTCAGAACATCAGCTCCGCATACATCCCTGGGGACAGGCTGCCAGTGGGCAGCAGCTTAGCTGAGAGCTGAGCTCACACCTTTTAAAACTGAACTGCTGGGCTTGGGCCCATTCCAAACTGTGCTGGGTTGTGCACGGCTTAGAGAATCTCTACCAATATTCAGACACTCTGCATGAATACCAGCGGGCAACTACTTGGCATTAGGAGAGCTTTACATGCAGAGCCACAGGAAAAGCACACACACATCAGAGTTAAAGATATTCCATATTCCGTGATGTAGTGATTCCTCTCCTAGGCAGAGGCCCAGGAGAAATGTGTGAATATGTGCACATACAGAGTATTCATAGCAGCAATGTCCTCAACACCTCAAAATCTCGAAAAAAGACAACTATCAATCAAGAGCAAAATGAACAAATAAATCGTGATATATTATTAAAATGCAATGTTGGACTGCAACAAAAAGAAACTAGAGCCACACATACCATAGCACATATGCATCTCAAACATAATGTTGAGTGAAAAACATCCTAGAAGAATTTGTAGGGCATAATATTATTTCTATATAGTTCAAAAAAACCAATGTTTCCCAATAATATGAATATACTTAACTGCACTGTATAGATTAATATCATAAATTTTAGGTTATGCAGTTTTTACCGCAACGAACAAAAAAGCCAACAAAACTAACCTTTTGTTTAGGGACGTGTGTATGTTATGTGTGTGTGATAAAAATATAAAGAAAAAGCAAGGGAATGAAAAACACAAAATTCAGAATGAAGTGACCCAGGAATGAAGCAGCCTGATATAGGGAAGGGTACAAAAGTCTTTGTCTTGGGGAAGGCCCACAGATATATGTGATGAACTCATGGGAATTTGTTTTATAATTATGCTTCATGATTTAGATATACAATTCTTTTATTTGTACCAAACGCTCCCTGAGTTAAAAAATATGGGTGAGTGAGCATGAGTCAACATCAAGTGAGTACCAGATTCCTGGCCAAGGACCTTACACCAAATATTTTTTAATGCAGTATACATGTTGCCAACTGAAAGAAGAGAAAAAAGTGTGATAACTTCGACCGGAGGGAGGGCAAGGCAGGGGATGGCAGCAGTTAATTTGAGAGAGGTGCGTGGAAAGCACAGAAAGGAAAGAAAGGGAAAGAATCAAGTTAGCTCTGGGAGAGCAGCAGGGTGCAGAAGACTCTGTCTCCTTTTTCACCCTCAGAATCCACATTCCAGGCACCAGAAGGATCTTCAGTGTGCTTTTCAACAGTTTTTTCTCATTACTTTCACTTTTCATGTAAGTAGTGTTACTAACAACCCCCCTTGATATTAAAATGAGTCATTCCTAGAGGACATGGAAAATTAAGCAAAATAATTTTTCACCATTAATAAAAAAGCTTTGTGTTGACAATGAGGTATTTCTGTGAAAAATGAAGAGAAACGGACAAAGACAAATAGTTACTTTGATCTTTTAAAAACATCCCCTTGTTATAAAGTTTCTTTCCTTTGAAAAATCTTGGCCAAATAGGTAAAACCCTATATTTATACAAAGAATATGGAAACATGTTAAAAACTACCCTAAAGGCAGATACTAAAAGTCTTCAGTGCCCTAATTCCCCCGCAATCAGCAATTTTTAGGCTTTTTGTCCACAAATTGCTGCTTCCCAGTAATGGAGGCCAAAGCTAAAGGTTAATCAAAATCAGCCCCTAAGGGACACACTTGATAAAAATCCCAAGCCATAAAAGAAAACACTCACAGACGTTACAGTACCACATTTGTTCAAACTATAAGAGGAAAAAAAGATTTGAGGAAAAAAAGAAAATCTTTTTTTCCTATTACTTAAAAGTCTAGCTATAAGACTAAGAATAGAGATTTCTGCAGTACAAGAAAGCAAAAAGTTTTACTCCAAACAAGAAATTGACAAGCAAACATCTTATATAAGGCACTATATTAAGTTATCTCTGGAAACAACTCCGCTTTCAGATGCCCAATACCTGAAAGACAGCAGCCTTTGATTTATAAATCCGTTCCACGTTAAGTCTGCTAAAACTAAGACAAGTATTTAAAAAACCCACCACTGATGACGATCTGCATCTCGCAATTTGTTACTGAAAGCTGCCAGAAGCACAAATAAACACAAGGAGAAAGAAGTGGCACAAATTTTGCTTCCCATTCCCTTCCTGAAAGGTTGGGAAAGAAAAAGGCTCAGCGAGCCTGAAGAGAGGGACTCACATGGTCTTTCAATCTCCCCAACTTTTTAACAGCCTGGACCCACATCCTCTGTAGGACCTGAGCAGTCTTCATGGCCTGAGGGAAGTAATCAGCCAGGGCGCTGCCTACACCCCAGGCTGCTCACCCATTGCCATCACTCCACGTGGTTACGTAAGGCGGATACAATAGTGGCCCACATTCCCAGCGAATCCTGTTGTCATCTAGCAAAGTGACACATCCATACAGCAGGGATGCCAAACACTTTGAAAAGCACCACTTGTGAGGGGAAAAAAAAAAGAAAGCAAGCGGTCTGGATGTGCATCACTTTCAGTTTTCTCTTCCTCCCTTTCTCCAATGTGAGGTAACCAGAGAATCAGAGTAAACATTCCTTCCACACAGATAAAATGATTCAGTATCTAAGTAGAAATGAAGTAAGTAGGACATTTTTGAGCAACACTCTAGAAAGGAATGTTTGCAGAAGAATTTATTTATAAAGATTCTCCCACAGACACACACAAAAAGTGTAAGCTGCCTGGAAATGAACTGGTAGTGTTTCAGGTGAATCAAACTGCCAACGTAACATAGAAATTAAAAAGGCATGAAGATAAGATGTTTCACATCCTTGGAGATAACTAAGTCTGTACATGAGAGGAAGATAAGATTTCGGGAGTTGGTGCAACTTGGAGCCAACTTGGGGACAGAGTGCTCACTCATCAGTTTTCTCCTCCTTCCAATCTTTCTGTAAATTTAGCAGATAAAAGACAAACAAAGAGCCCTACTATCTGCTTCTTTCTTTGTACCACTTAGGGAGTGATAGAAAACACATTTTAAGTCTCTGAACATCTAAGTAAGATTTTAAGGGACAAATGGTGTTTGAAAATTGGGTGTGGGGTCAGGCAGCCGACGATCATTCTGGCTACAGAAGTGCATGTTACACCGATGGACCTGACCGAGCAGTTTGCAAGTGAGGAGTACACCATCCGATTTGTTTGAGGTTAAGATGTGTAGTAAATTTGGACCACAACATGAGTCAAGAATGTAAGTTTTAATGGCAGAAGATCTGGGGTGCAATCTCTGTTCTGTCACTTAGCTGTTGGCTTTCGACATCTGTCTCTTTCTTTATAAAATGGGAATAATACCATCTACACCTCAGAGGAACAATGTCAGCATGAAACGAGGCAAGCTCTACAAAGTGCATGTGCTGAACATGCACTAAAAATGTTCATGTTCTTCCTCTGAACTCTACAAGAATAAGTTCTTCGTAAGTGTTGGGACAGCAAAACAAGATGAGAAATAAATGAAGTTCGTTTCAAATGTCACACTCCAGAGGGCACAGGCAGTACAAAGGAGCCCTGCTGAAGGACCCGTGGAAGCTGAGCTGGTGCTCCCTGCTCACTGAGCCCCAGGTACAGAGTATCCAGGCAGAGGGAAGGGGTGGGGGGTTGCTCAAGGCAGCTCGATCCTACACTGACAGTCCTTAGGAGATCACTTGAGTTTCCCTGGTGAGGAAAGAAATACTTCCCTTAAATTTATGCATATTGCGCAGAAGTCACAGGCATCCTACGATCGAAGAATTCCAGATTTCCAGAACTCACAGTTTCTCCCCATACTAATGTTTTTAAATTGTGCTTGGTTACATACATAACATAAAATAATTTATCCATTGCTAAGCGTGCGGCTCAGGAGCGTTAGGTCCATTCACATTGTTGTGCAAACAATCTCAGGACTCTTTCATCTTGCAAAACTGAAACTCTATGCCCATTAAACAACTCCCCACTTCCCTCCCCTCTCAGCCCCAGGTGACCATCATTCTACTGTCCAGTTCTATGAATTTGTCTACTCTAGATACTTCATGTAAGTGGAATCATAAAGTATTTGTCTTTTTGTGTCTGGCTTATTTCACTTAGCATAATGTCCTTAAGGTTCATCCTTACAACACGTATCAGAATTTCCTTCCTTTCTAAGGCTGAATAATATTCTACTGTATGTACAGACCACATTTTGTTTATCTATTCATTTGTCATGGACACTTGGATTACTTTCACCTCTTGGCTACAGAGAATAACGCTGCCATTAACATGGGTGTACAAATTCGCTATCACTAATTCTTTATTCATCCATGCAACAAATGCAATGTGCCAAGCTCTGAGGATCAGATGAAGGTCGATACATGTACAGCACTGCCCTCCCCAAGCCTGGCAAGAGCCAGCATCTGATCTAGGCAGAGTGGGTGGGGAGTACAGGGTGTTTCCCATGAGCAAAGGGCATTGAGATGAGCTCTGAACAATGACCACAATTGAGGGTGTGTATGTGGGGGAGGCGGGTGGTTCAGAGCCTGAAGAACAGCAATAGGGCAGAGACCCTGATAAAGGAAAGGGGGAGGGGCCAGAGAGAATGGCCATCAGAACCAGTGCAGCCTGTTCCGACTAGCAATTGTCCTACCACTGGCATCAAAAGGACATTTTATGGTGAACCGCTGCCTCCATGAGAAGATCTCAAGAATTTAGGGGCTACTTCTCAAAGATTTCTAACGTCCATGTACATATATTCAAGAAACATTTGCTGAGCAGCAACTCACTGGGCCCTATGGATTGAAAGACAAAGTATACTAAATCATTACCCTAAGGCAGTCACAGTCCAGTGGGAAAGTGGGACACGCAGACAATATTCACAACTCAGTGCAACTATAACCGCAGACAAATACACAAGGCTGTCATTCAACAAACATTCCTGGAACACCTAGGATGTGTCAGGTTCTGTTCTAGATGCTGGGGGGATATAAGCCCAAATCCCTAACAGAGAGGATTTTAATGGAGGAAACAGACAATAAGCAAGTAAACATTATCTCAAGTACCAGTAAGTGCCATGGGATGTGACATTAGAAAGAACTAATTGTAAGAAAATCTGGACAGATTTCCAAGGAGAGGGAATAGCAGATGCAAAGGCCCTGAGGTGAGTAAACAGGTTATTATTTTCATGAAAGAAAAAGGACTATGAGAGGCTGGATTAGGTGAGCGATGCAGTCATGACAAGCCCATAAACTGTGAAACTAATGGCACAGGTGGGAGTTTTTCACTGGGGATGAGAGGTCTGGGGTGGGGGGAGATGTGCACCCACCACACGGGAAGGCCCCTCTCCCACACAGAGTTCCACATGAGCTCAGTGCTGAAGGATGACTGACTTGTTGGGTGGGTGGAAATTCTAGGAAGAGGGAACAGCACAGTCAAAGCCAGAAGGCATAACCTGAAAGGTGTGTTCAAGGCACTGCAAGTACTCAGTGTGGCTGGGCGGTAAACTGTTTAATAACACACACAGCGTTCTGCATTCTCAGCGTGGACAGACATGTCAAAATAACTTAATCTACAGCTTGGAAATCTTAAAACACACCCACCCTGGGAACAAGAGGCAAGACGGTTATGAGAACTGGAAAGAAAGGAACCATTAACACTTAGAGCACCACACCAAGGGCTTTATACAATGTTTCATTGACGGCCCACAGTCCAGTCAGTTAGCTACGATTGGCCAAAACCTGGAACAATGACAATATCAAATGCTAGCAAGGATGGCAAGGATGTGGAGCAAAAGCAACTCTCATACATCACTGGCGGGAATGCAAAATGGTATAGCCACTTTAGAATAAACAACTTGGTGGGTTCTTACAAAACTAAACCTACTTTCACCATGGTGTCTAGCAATTGTGCTCCTTGGTATTCATCAAAAGGTCCACATAAAAACCTGCACACCCGTTTATAGCAGCTTTGTTCATAATTGTCAAAACTCTGAAGCAAACAAAATGTCCTTCAGTAGGTGGATGAATAAAAAAAAAACAAAGTGGTACATCCAGACAAAGGAATATTATTAAGTGCTAAAAAGAAATGTGCTATCAAGCCATGGAAAGATATGGAGGAAACTGAAATGCATATGACTAAGTGAAAGAAGACTATCTGAAAAGGCTACATGTTGTATGATTCCAATTATGAGACATTCTGGAAAAGGCAAAACTAGGGTGACAAGAAAAAGATGAGTGATTGCCAGAGGTCAGAGAGAAGGAGAGATAAACAGACAGAGCGCAGAAGATTTTTAGGGCAGTGCAAATACTCTGTATGATATCATAATGACAGGATAGGTGTCACTATATATTTGTCCAAATCCATACAGCATACAACATCAAGAGTGACCTGTAATGTGAACTATGGACTTTGGGTGAAAATGACATGTCAATATAGATTCATCAACTGTAACAAATGTACCATTCTGATGGGGCAAGGGGTATAGGGGAAATCTCTGTACCTTCCCTCGATTTTGCTGAGACCCTTAAATTGCTCTAGAAAAAAAAAAAGTCTTAATTTATGAAGATTGATCGATAGAAAGAGAGACAGAGGGAGGGAGGGAGGGAGGTTGGTTTAGGAACTTGCACATGGCCGCATAGCTAGTAGGTAGGTGGCTGGTCATAATCTGAATTCAGATCTTCATGAGTCCAATTTTAATAAGCTATGAAGCAAAGAAACATCAGCAGATAATTACATTTAAGACCTTTATGTTCATAGTTCTGGTACACTAAGCTAGAAGGTATAATTATAATTTAAACAGACCATTTTTATTTGTAATTACATAGAAGCCATTAATAAACCAAAAAGGAAGGTGCTAATTTGGCAACAGAGACACAGCCCTGTCTACTCTATGATTTTAAACCTGACTAAGCCTGTGTAACATTAAAACACAGCTCCACTTTAAAAAAAACAAACATACATACATACAAACCACCACCCCATGGCAGGCACCAAGATAAAGAAAATTATAAACTGTCAAAAGGCAGGTTAGAAAACCAACAATTAGAATGTTCAGCTAAATTCTGACAGCAGGGTTGGCCCTGTATGAAATACACAAGTTAAACAAACTGTCCCTCCCATATCCAAGGCACTTTCCGAGGATGGCTTACCCAGAAAAGAGTGACTGACACAAGACACAATGCTTCCGCCAAAAGTCAATGTGCCTGGTTCACTCCCAAAAAGCCAGTAGGCCTACATACAGTGTCCTAAGCCTCAAAGGCATGCCTTTCCTATCAGAATCGAAGAATAAATGCAGGACCTTAAAGGCCCTAAACCTTTAGATGC